GCACCAGACTAAAGCTAATACCAGTACACAGTGAGAAGAGATGAGCGGAGATCAGTGTACTAGAACTAATAAAATTCACATGGAAGCCCTGACAAGAGGCAATAATATTTCTGCTGACAGCCAGTTTCCCATCTATCAAACCCCCTTTTTTTACTTACTACCTCCTCTGAGGAAATGACTACAAAACAGGATGAAAAGCATTGTGCGGTGGCATGTACTATATCTTGGGTGGCTCGCTTGATGGAATTGGCTCAGCATGTATGTCATGTTGTAGGGGGTTTGAGCGATATAGGAGCGTAGCTTGGTTTGGTAAGAAGGCAGGCGAGATAAAGAAAAATGATGTGGCTCATCTTCTGTACCTGTATTCTATCAGCTCGCCACAGACTGCAGGTCCTGGCTGCAGAGATGAAAGACTCTCTGGAGGACAAGAGAGACGTCCGTGAGTCAGAAGGAAAATGGCATCCCGCTTATTAAATGCTTGGAAACGAAATCCCACCCACCCAACAGCCTGCCCCCGTCCTCCTCAGTTCTTGGGTCTGGCCGTACTTTGAAAGCTCTGTCGCTCTGGACAGTAGGTTAAGAGTCAAAAGTTCCTTGCAGCACAGCAAACACCGAGCAGGCAGTTTCAAAGCAAATATGTCTCTTTGCCAGATTTCCCTGCTGTAGTCTAATTGGGGTCATGTTACAAGCTTTTCGAATAAAACAAAAGGAAAGCCAAGACGAAAGCATATAGCTGATGGAGGTATGATCCTCCTTAAATTAATCTTGCAGATTAAATTAGCGAGTGTGTGTAATTTCCTTCCCAGTTATAACTGCAGTAGCAAGACCCAATTTTAAGTAACGAGCTCTTGGATGAAAGAAGCAACAAGAGACTATTATTTTTTTGTTTCATAAAGCAAGTCCATCTTCTGTGAGACAACACAGGGACTATAAATGAAGACATGTCCATTCTAGCTCCATCTCTGAGGTGAAGTACAGATGATAGAGCACAGGCTTAATGAAAAGATACTGCACGCTTGGTTAAGGAATAGACACATCTCCTGTGATGCTGTCTTAATTAACATTAAGCAAATATTAAGTCATCATCATTGTTCTTTAAATCTCATTTGCACCACAAGAAAAGCAAACGGCCCTCTGCTGTATTTCTAAAAGCCTCCGCTGAGAAACCAAAATCATTTTCAATCCAAAAACAAGGTTCCTGCAATCCTCTAAATCCATCCAAGTCATTTTCTTTGTCAGAAAATGTTGGTGACATAAGGCGAGATGTGCAGTCAGACAGGCGTCTAAATCATGCCGAGCTGTGTGGCTCACCGTCACTGTGGATTCGTGAAGGGCATGGAGAGAAACTCATCACTGCTCTCGTCTCAAATATGAGTTGACAGTGACTTAAAGAGACACTATCCTGACCGAACGGTATTTCAAATCAATTCCTTCTGTGCGGAGACCACATCCCCTTGTCCGTGTTCCTGGGTGTCTGTTCTGGCTCTTGGAGCGAGGTGATGGTTTACACAGCAATGTGCAATCACTGGAATATTTCTTTTCATGGCTTATCTGCCCACAGTGGGAATCTGTACAGACCGCGACTCAAGGCCTTGCCTGTGTGCCACAGCCTCCCCCTCTCCAATCCTGACCGAGCGCTCAGACAAACATCTCCATGGGAGCATGCAATGATTTATTCATCACAACTTAGCAGCAGCGTAGAGATTTGTGAGTTAGTTAAACAAAGGTCTTTTATGGTCAACTACAAAGCTTTAACAGCCTTTTTAACCTATAAACCCGACAAAGAGTGACCAAAGGAGGCACAAAATTATGCATTACAATCCCAAAATGACCTTTCAAATCTCAATCAGACATTTGCCTTTTCCTTCAGGGAAGACTACAGACAGAAACAAAGAAACCGTAGGGTGGAGCAGTCAGAAGAGGCTGATCCAGTGGATGGCGATAAGGCACCTTGACGTTGGTTGCCACCCACCAATAAACCAAACAGAAGAAGAAGGAGGAAAGCTTATTCTCCACAAATCATGTTCATCCCTGCTGGCCATTTTCAAATAACATTGTGTATATATTGAATTTTTGAATGAGATATGAGAAAATGGTAACCTTTTAAGGACTTCAAAGCTTATTTGAATGAAACAACAATCACTCTCTGCTTGATGGAGCATTTATTGGCATTGACTGCACGGCTGAGAAGCCAAAACGGCAGGGAACCAGCAAAGAAAGGATTACATGTTCCTTTGTGGGTTGAGAGAATTCTCCTCCATCATTGGCTCTAAAACCATATAAAATGCTTTTTTTATTTTCTTGCAGTGTTTTAGTGGTTATGTAGTGATCCAGATAAAATTGCATGTTGGTGTGCCCTCATAGACCATGAGTGTAACCTGCAGCCTCCCTGGTTTGTGTCCAGCTGAGGACATTTGTTGCATGTGAGTCCCATCATTACCTGTCATGCCTCCACTGTGAAGTCTACCAGAGATGCTTAAAAATCTTCCAAAAATATCCACCCATTAAATATCTTAAAAATCAGACAAACATTTCAAAGTCTGCACTGCATTTCCAGATGATGTCTTAAGACACCTCAGTCCATATCACAATGAATAAAAATCAATGTCTTTCTTGGAGATAATTAAAATGGCTCTCCAGTATGATCAGCTGTTATTAGATTGCCATCATTCTGAACCAGGGACAGATTAATATGTATAATGTGATGGTAAAGCTTTTAAACATTTAGATTACTATGGTGTGTCCTGGACAAAAGCAGCAGTGTACAATACATTCAGCTGACTCAGATTGGTGTTAATAAACTTGACATCAGTCACATTATGTAGTTACTCCTCATCTTCCCACACACCATCACAACAAAAAAGGCGAGAGCAGACAACCACCTTCCACCTCAGCATGAAAAGAGCTGCGGTACGCACATTGTTTCGGTGGCTGGAAACACAAGCCTGGTTCACGCTGCACCTGCTGGGCCACATCTCTCTGGTTCTTCCCCCATCGCTCACTGTCCGTTTCTCCAGGGGGACAACAGCCATGGCCCACAGTGGTCCAGCAACCCCCTAGCCACCTCTGTAGCATCCCACACCCTCCATCATCCCGGGTCCATTCATTTTCTTCGACGTGACAGTTTGAGGTTATACATATTGTGGTGTTAGTATTAAAGGCTTCCTCCCACTTAGTGTCTCGCTGTATAGAAAACAAACCTTCTGTAAGGCCAGCCAATGCACATTAATCACTGCATGAGGACTTAAGCCATTGCAGCCTGGATCCCTTTGAGCGGCCAGTTGGAGGACAGCGTGGCTCTCACATTGATTTTCACACAAGAAAACATGGAAACAAACAAAATGAAAGCAAGACTTGGGGCAAAAGTAATGTGGGATCTAAGAAGGAGAGGATGTGGCGCAAAAGCTAAATCAGATTGAATCAGTTGAACTGTGCTCTCACCTTTGTTTGAATTGCAGCCTTAGCAGCAACGGCAGCATGTACACCAGGAAACGTGAGTGAGAGAGTGCCACATCCCCCCGAGACATATCCGCATACAACAGACACAAACACTCCGGCACAGAGGAGGAACCGACATACGTTGTCTGTCGAGATGCATCACCCTCTGTGAACATTATTTGGCTCAGTAAGGACGCCTCAGCCCATTTCCAAACAGGCAGGAACCCTGATCCCAGAGCCCCTCCAGGCAAACTCATTCCCCACTGACCAGCTGCACTGTCCTTGTCAGCCTCCTAAATAACAAAATAACCTCCGGAATAATTCAATTGTTTTGCTCACAGCCAGAAAATGCTCAAACAGCTGTTACAATGAGAACGCAATTTCCTAGTGGCAAATAGAATTTGATGTAACAATAGACAAATATTTGGCTATAAAAGGACACAGTCAAGGGAAAGCTCAGCTTATTCTATACTGCTGTTGGGCTGTTGCCTGCAAGTGTGAGTAACAGGCTAGAGGAGGTCATAGGGAGGAAATGTGTCGCAACCTAAATACTGGGCCCTCAACTCTTGTAGCAGGAACAGATAGAATTGATCTGAAATGCTACAAAATGCTGAAGTGCTTTTCATCTTCAGGGGTTTTTTTTCCTCATGCATTCCAAGGAGTTCCTAGCCTTAGACATAACATGGTCTATGTTACAGATACACATAATCCGCTGAGAGTCAAATTTTTTGTTTATCTGTCAGTTATGCAGAACAGGACCTTGGGATGTGGCTGAGCGAGATTGTTTTCCATTATGATAAAGATTCAGTGGCAAATAGAAGAGACACTGAAGATACTACAGCATAATTTGACATGGCAGGAGATGAACCTCACGGTAGATTCAGTGCACTGCACAGCACTGAGGAGAAATGGAGCGAAAGAAAACTGAATTGAATTTCTCTGAAAAAGAGTAAAAGTGCTGGGAAATGTATTACAATGAGAATAAAATAAAAAGTTGTTGGGGGCTTCCAGCAGCAAACATGCAGAGTAGGGAACAGGCTATTTAAATTAGCTTGCTCTCTCAGCCTGCTGCTCAGTCGATCAAAAAGGACGAAATGCATTTGTTTTGTTTGCTTGTTTTGTTTGATTTTTACTGCAATCTGTGTAATTTATGTGTTCATTCATCAGTGAAACTCCATCTCCAATGAACAAAACACATTACACCCTCACTGTCATGTTTAATCACATGGCAAGATTTTTCAACCCACGCTCCATCACAACAGGATCTCTACGCTTTAACATACACCGACCAGCCACAGCATTAAAACCAGTTACCGGTTTTATTAGGTTGTATCCATGTCTAGTGCTCGAGATGAGCAGCTTATATTGCACAGTCACAACCAGATTGTGCTCTGATCGCCTTTAGGTGTGATGGAGAGCCACGCTCCTATAATGTGTCCCCCCCGGACACACATGTAGACACACACTTACTCACTCAATCACACTATGAGGTTGGGGACACATCTGGGCAGAGAAGAGAATATCACCAGTCAATAAAGGAGATCCAGCCAGGGCCGGCTTACCTTTGAGAATGCTCTGGCCATGCAGTACATCTCTCGAGACAATCACTGTGTAGAAGTTCTGGGAGAAACCCGGTCTGCACGGGGGTTTGAGTGGCTGGCCTGCCTTATTCCCCTGGGGAATAAAAACAAGACGGCCTGTTAAGCATTGGCAAATTGACTTGTGGCCACAGGGTTACAAGCTGATCTCCCAGCCTTTCAGACTGATATTGAACCCCATACACACTCTCTCTGGCTGTAGTGAGTGATTTGCTTCAGACTACAGCATTCAGCACTTGGACCGTCACAGTGTGGAAATACACATCTGAGGGTAGAGACGCCGTATTTAAACCACTGCAGCAAAACATGGATTCTCATGGAGAGTGACTAGATTATTTTAATGATAGTGATCATCATTAAATCATCATTATAAGGACAGACAATGCTCTTATTATCATGTTGGTTGTTAAAATTATGGCACAGGTGGAGGTAATGGCAGTAATGATAACCATTATAAAGATGATAACTGAGGCTTGAATTACATGTTTAATCTAAACATTTAGCTTGTACTTTTAAGTGTCAGAGCCGCAGAGACGCCCTGTGTGTGTGTAAAATGTATTTAAGTACACTGTTAATACATAAGCATGGCTGCAGGCACCCAGTATCCCCCAGGCTTTTCATTATCTGCTGCATGCAGTTGCAGAAATCCACTTCATTCATTCAGCCATGGCTTTTTCAAAAAGAAATGAGGGTAATTAAGCTGATTGTACGAAATTGTTTCCCCAAGTTTTTGAATAAATCCCGCTAACTGCTTGTTTGTTCCTTAAATAAAGCTCCATAAACATGCAACAAACCAAATAACCAAGTCCTCATCTGAGACATTAATCCTAGAAATGTGAACAAGGAGGAATGACAGCGCGTAAACGTGCGTAAACGAAGCTGATCGCAGGCAACGGAGAGGGAAGCCCCTCCAGACACCACTGTCCCCTGCAATAGAGCACTGCAGTTTATTTAGGCGAGGGGAGGCTAATGAACGCAGTTGTCAGTGACTTTTCTTTCCTCTCCGCCACACTTCAGACAAAAATACTCTTGACCCGCAACGTCTCCGCTCGGAGCTGGGCTACTCGCATGGTGCTGCCTTTAGCGCAACACTGCGGGGAGAAAGTGAGCCCCTCTCAGACACTTTCCATGGCTCATGCAGCGCTGCACAGCCCAAGTGTGATCACTACAGCAGTGCAGCACTTCTCCAGCACTGTGATCCGAGAGGAATGAACTCATCTTACCGAGGATGCGCCCGCAAGTAAGGTGCACGCCAGGATGACGCAGGCAACGTTCATCTTTGCAAAAACCGCGTGTAAGGTGGAAAAAAAAAGATAAGGACGGGATGAGTCTTATTCTGCCGAATAAAAACCTCCTCAGTAATTCCTGGAGCCGCGTTTCTTCCTCTCGGATGCCGAGTCAGACACAGTCCCTACTTGTCTGGCGCAAAAGTGCCGCTGAGGAAGAGATGCTGCGCTCAGTCCGGAGGAAGCCGGAGCCCATTGGATAACAGCGTCACTACAACCCCTCCCACTGCACGGAGCGCGCGCGCACACACACACACACACACGATGCCAAACACTTCTGGGATGTGCAGGTTTAAAAAACTCCCATTTTCCAGCCTATTTAGATTCATGTTTTGACTTCACATGGAGAAAAGGCAGGTCTGACGATGTGACTGACGACCAACCATCCGAGTCCTCTCATGTGTCCGTCAGCTAACTGGTCTATTGGAGTCTATTTCACACCCCAGTCACCCCCTGTGCCCCTGATCCATGCTATAAGAGCAGCACCAGCCAAGCTATTAGCTTTGTATTAAAGCTGCTGTGATAGACTTTGATGCTTCAAATCAAATCAGATCCAATGAATCAGTAAGCTGTGTGATGATCCACAATATCTA